AAACATATGTGGCTAGTGAGTTAGATAAAAAAGCAGATAAAACATATGTGGCTAGTGAGTTAGAGAAGAAAGCAGATAAAACATATGTGGCTAGTGAGTTAGATAAAAAAGCAGATAAAACATATGTGGCTAGTGAGTTAGAGAAGAAAGCAGATAAAACATATGTGGCTAGTGAGTTAGAGAAGAAAGCAGATAAAACATATGTCAATGAAATATACCAAAGTTTAGTTGGAACAACAAAAAATATTGAAACTATGGTTGGTGACTTTTCTGTCAATGAAGAAAACAAATATTTTAGATGGGAGTTTGTACATTCCTTAAAAAATGGTATACGGTATAAACTCATTCCGAAAAATAACAATGAAATGTATGTAAGCTATATAAAGAATGATGGTACAGAAGTTAAAGTTCCATTAGACAACAACTGCTACTTAAACTTATATGGAGACGAACAAAAGAAATATTTAAGAGTTTATGAAATGGCAGATATGACATTGCCTGACCCATCTCCAGCACCATATTATTATAAGTATGGAGATGACGACAAAACACCGCATGTAGACCCAAAAAAGCAAACATTATATTTAGAATATTATAGATATAAAAGATATAATGCAATAGAAAAAACGAGAATAGTATACTATTATGAAGATGACAGAAATAAATATTATAGTCAAGACTTTACCTACCCTGAAAACATAAGATTATATTATAAAAAATATTCTGACACAAACCAGAAGAAACCTGAAATAGTTGCACTATATTTTAAGTTCAAAAGAGACAATCCTATAATATCTCATATGTTTGATTTAATGAACCCAGTAGGTTCTATTTATACATCTATGGAAGCAAGAGGTCCTCAAGTAATGTTTGGTGTTGGTGCATGGGAACAAATAGTCGACAGGTTTTTGTATTGTGCAAACTCTTCAAAGGAAACAGGAGGAAGTAAAACGATTTCAGGTGCAAATTTACCTGCACATAGTCACTACATAGATTTAAGTACATCTCAAGCAGGTTGGCATAAGCATAAATTTTGGGATTGGTCAGCAATGAAAAAAGGTAAAGGATATGATGTTAAAGACGACGTTCAGTTTGCTATAAATTGTTTCTGGGGTGACACTCAGGGAGATGGAAACCATACACATTTCGTTTCAGGATATACGCAAACAACGGGACAAAGTAAAGAATACATGCCACCTTACATGACAGTTTACGCATGGTATAGAATTGCTTAGTCGTCATTTTCAACTTCTTTAGCATATTGGTCAGGAGTTGTCTTATATTTGTTAGGAACTGTCTTTGAAAGTATACCACCTTGAACTTTGACAAGTTTGAAACGAGGTCTGACAATAGTAGTTTTATCTTCTGCTTGCAGTCTGTACATTTTGCCATGTTTGCCTAAAACTTCATAATATTCTCTTGTATACTTTCTTCTATTTTTACGAACACGAATGTGAGTACCTGTCGGGTTCCCATTGTTGTCATAGTCAATAGTATTTTCATATGGGTCGCGTTTAGGTATTTCTATTTTTACTTTGTCACCTTTCTGAAGTTTGAAGCCCGGCATTCTTTCTTGTTTGTCTCTTTTGACTAAATTATTAAATATATAGTCTTTCTCTAAGTCAGGGTTGTTTTTCATTTCTTCGGGGGAGTGGTTTCCCAAACCTTTTTGTTTACGGTTATTGTAAATATTTAAAACTTGTCTCATCTTTGCCATGGAGAAGTGTCTATATTTGTCGTCATATGACATTTCATTTGCTTCACCACCTTGTGGTTGGTTTAAGTCTCTTAACATTTTTATACAACCGTCAATGACACCAAGAGCAGAATGGTTTTGGTCGACAATGAAATATTGGTTTACATTTTTTGAACGCAGATAGTTTTTAATATCATCTGATTTGAAAGAACTTTCACAGTCAGATGTCAGTTTTGTTGGATGGTATTTGTCAACGAATATTGTCAAAGCAGTTTTCACATCTAAAATATTTTTGGACCATAATGGTATGGCTTCACAGTATCTTGTGTTTTGACCAACAAATATTAACCAGTATGGTGGTCCATCTGTTCTAACTCTCGGAATGTTTTCCAAGATATCCATAAACCAAGCATTTGGTGTTGAACTAAAGATTTTTATCATGAGTGCTTTCTTTGTCGCTTTAGAAACATAGGGGTCCTTGTTTGGATTCGTCATTTTTTACCCTATAAGAAATGGGTTTATTTGGCGCATTAGCAGGAGTTGCATCCAGATTTTTGCCCGCAGTGGGAACAATTGCCAGAGGTGTATTTGGAGTTGGAAGGAAGATTTTGAGTACATTAGGTATACTTAAAGAGAAAGCACAACCTATTATACAAACTGTACAGAAAGGTTGGGATGTAGCACGAGATGCAGCAAATCTTATTCCAAATCCTGAAACAAGAGGAAAAGTTCAAGGATGGATGGACAATGTAGGAAGACAAGCAGGAAACTACTATAACAAAGCAAATGACTACTATAACCAAGCAGGACACTACATGGACCAAGGTGAAAGATTCTTTAACAGAGGATATAACCATGCACAACAGTGGGTAAACAACAACCAACCGCAACCGCCTCAAACGTGGGGAATGTAAATTTTTTTACTGAGATGAAATGAACAATACAGCATTGAGACAAATGGGCTCAAGATGGATTTGTCGGCTTCCAGCAGTTACACAACGTGTTTGTCAAGTCCTCCCTATACCTCAGGAAGTTTTAGACCGACTTAAAAAACAACAACAACCAGTTGAAAACAAACCAAACTAAAATTTTTACTGAGATGAAATGACCGAAGAAGTTGAAACGGTAGATTTGACACCACAAACAAAAAGTTCAGAACCATTGTCAAAACCTGTCAAAGAACTTACAGATGAAGAGAAAAATTCAATAATAGAAAGTGCCAGGTCTGGAAATACAAACCCTAACTATAAAGTCACTTTTCATAGAAATGGAACGGCTAGTATCTCAAAAAAGAAACAGACTCTCACAAATAAAATATTGAAGTCTGAAGGAGCTTTCGAGACAACAGATGGGAAGGTATTCTTCACCGACCAACAGTTCATTATAGAACATCTCATTGACTTAGAGTCGAAATATTCTAAACTTTACAACAAACACAAAAAGTTGAAAGGAAAACAAAAACAAATGGCATATGATATTTATGAAGATGTTAACGACACAACTGTTCCTGCAAGTGAAGTAAAGTCAGATGAACCGAAAAGTGACGAAAAACAGATAGAAGAAGGGAAGCCAAAAACTGAAGATAAACCAAAACCAAAGTTTAGTTTCCAAACTAAACCAAGTCAACCTTCATTAGCTGGTATGGGTTGGCGTCAAAGACTTCTGGTAGCTGGTGGTTATGTAAAGTAAAGGAAAAATATATTTTTTTATTTTTATTTGAACTGTACGCTGAGTTTGTTGGAACAGACCGTTGGGAAACTTGTTTGTTAGATGAGAAATAAAATATTGCATACCATTTTAAAACATTTATTTTAAAAATATATTTTTTTATTTTATTTGAAATGTACGCTGAGTTTGTTGGAGAAGACCGTTGGGAAACTTGTTTGTTAGATGAGAAATATGAAATTCACTGTTGTGAGTCATTTGAAGTCAGAAACAAAGAGACAAAAAGAGTTTTAAGCGGATGGGAGCGAAATGACGGATATGCTATTATGAAGATGAGTGGAAAAAACTATTTTAAACATGTTGTCATTGCAACTCATTTTATACCGAATCCTAACAATTTACCTTTTGTAGACCATATAAACCATATAAGAAACGACAATAGACTTGAAAACTTACGCTGGGTCACTTGTTCTGAAAACAATAAGAACATAGGCAAATTTCGAGATATTGTATTCGAATTTGTCGACGAACTAGAAGATGAAACAATTGAAATTACAGACTATGGCAAGCATAGGTTGGAGTTTTATTACTATAGCGAAGAACAAGACTCTTTCTACTTTTATACCGGCGTAAACTATAGGAAATTACAAGTATATTTTACTAAGGCGGGCTATGCTTATGTAAACACTAGAGATACAGATGGAAAAAACGTTCAAATACTTCTTAACAAATTCAAGAAGCTATATGGCATACCATTTTAAAACGTTTTTAAAACAGTATATTTTTACATATATAAAATGCTTCAGGTTGAAAAACAAAGAACAAAAGTAGCAGATACAAAACCGTTAGACTATATCTTTACAAATGCCGGTAGAAATATTTCAGATGAAGAAATTTTATCTCGAATTGTCTTTCATATATAACTACGGAAAAGTGCTGAAAAAGTATTGAATGTGAAGATATTAGAAAATAACATTTTTTCTAACATCGTAGAAAACTCATGAAAACAATTTATTTTTGTGAATATGTAAGCGGCTCATAGCTCAGTGGTATGGGCTACCTCGTTAAAGGCGTCGAAGACCTCGGTTCAAATCCCGATTCGCCCAGGTTTTTTTCCTTTTATGCAGTGAAATTTCATGTACATAGGTTACTTTGGTGTTAGACCCTAGTGAAGAAAATAGAACGATATAAGTTTACATTTGTAAAGTTGGACGATAAAAATCTCTGCTCCTAGCAGTACTGCTACTGTCAGTAAAAGTACTGCTACTGTCAGTAAAAGTACTGCTACTGTCAGAAAAAGTACTGCTACTGTCAGTAAAAGTACTGCTACTGTCAGTAAAAGTACTGCTAATGTCAGTAAAAAGGAAAATTTGAGAGGGTTTTCGACGATAAAGTACTGCTACTGTCAGTAAAAGTACTGCTACTGTCAGTAAAAGTACTGCTACTGTCAGAAAAAGTACTGCTACTGTCAGTAAAAGTACTGCTACTGTCAGAAAAAGTACTGCTACTGTCAGTAAAAGTACTGCTACTGTCAGAAAAAGTACTGCTACTGTCAGTAAAAGTACTGCTACTGTCAGTAGCAGTACTGCTAGGAGCAGAGATTTTTATCGTTGTGGTCCGACGGTTAAGCCACAAACGAATGTCCGACGTACCACCAACCGAGTCCAATCTCAATCCAGAAGAACCTAAAGCACCAGCCCCTGCACCTCAGTTCCAGCAAGTCCCTCCACCAAATTACTACCAATTCCAATACAAATCGAAGAGAGACCAAGAGTTCGAAGAAGGTCTGAACCGCTTACGCAAAGAGTATGCTACAGCTCCAATTGAGAGAAAGTTGTTCCAGCAATTCCAATTCCAGCAATTCCAATCTCAATCCAAATCGAAGAGAGACCAAGACTTCGAAGAAGGTCTGAACCGCTTACGCAAAGAGTATGCCACAGCTCCAATTGAGAGAAAGTTGTTGCTAAATTCAGTAAAAATAATGTTTATGTTAGAATGTTAGATCTAACACCTTTTCTAACACGTTTTCTAACATGGTCTAAAACTCTCGAAAATCATGAAATTTACACCAAAAATAATGTTTATGTTAGAATGTTAGATCTAACACCTTTTCTAACACGTTTTCTAACATGGTCTAAAACTCTTGAATTTTCATGAATTTTCCGAAATAAAAAAATAAAGTTAGTTTTTTTAAAAAAATATTTTTTATTTTTATTGTAAGAACTGAAATGACAGTCGAAGCAAAAACGTTCACGAACAAATCTAATGGCGAAACATTCACAAAAGGCACTTATAACGGTATTGAAGTCTTACGTAGAGACAAGGATGGTTATATAAATGTAACAAATATGTGTCAGCAGTTTAGGAAAGACTTTAGAAAGTTGTTGGAAAATAAGTCCTGGGAAGAGTATTATAAGGCATTTTGTGAAGAATATAGCAACCGCCGGAATTCCGGCGGTTGGTTTTTATACAAAATTCATGCAGGAATTCCTGATGAAATCAAACAGGTTAGAGGAACGTATGTAGACCCAAGACTTATAAACTATATAGCAATGTGGGCTTCTCCAAAATATTGTATAGCAGTTGGAAAAATTATGGACTCCATAGACAAGAAAGTTCATGAGAAATTAGATGAAGAAGAACTTGAAGATACAGTAGAGAATGCAAAACCTTTGTTCGAACAAGAAGTTAGAAAAATGTGCGAAAAACATTTAGAACATGAACGTGAGATATGTTATGGTTATAGAGATTCTCCATACGAACTAGACCAATGGGAACAAGAAGATTTAAAGAGAGAATTTAGAGAATATGAACTCGCTAAGATAGCATTAGAAGCTGCAGAAAAGAAGTTAAAAGTTTGGGGTCGTTTTGTACAAAAATATTGTGAGTAAATGAACCATTTATTTTTGCTAAATTCAATAAAAATAATGTTTATGTTAGAATGTTAGATCTAACATGTTTTCTAACACGTTTTCTAACATGGTCTAAAACTCTTGAATTTTCATGAAATTTACACCAAAAATATAATTTATGTTAGAATGTTAGATCTAACATGTTTTCTAACACGTTTTCTAACATGGTCTAAAACTCTTGAATTTTCATGAAATTTACACCAAAAATATAATTTATGTTAGAATGTTAGATCTAACATGTTTTCTAACACGTTTTCTAACATGGTCTAAAACTCTTGAATTTTCATGAATTTTCCCGAAATAAAAATAAAATTAGTTTTATTTTTTATTTTATTTATTTTTTTATTTTTGTATAAAAGACATGATTTCAACAATCGGCACAACAACAATTCAAACTACAGCACCAAACTCGCTAGTTATGAATCCAACATCTATGTTAGTAGAGATGAAAAACTTCATTCCTTCTTCATATACTTTCGAAACAAAAATCCAGAAGATAAAGCAAGAACTTTTAACAAGTAATTTAGACTGTAGTGCGAAAGATGAAACAAATGAACAGTATATCTTTATGAAATGCAGGACATTATTGACCATTTACCCAAATTGCCTGAAATCCAACAACAAAAACTAACCATTCCCGAATTTGACGAAATAGAAGTCAAAGCAACTGACTCAGTAGAAATAAAGAAGTTCATACGAAAGGTAAATTATGAATTCCTTGGTTTTCATTGCAACCATAAGGTTATGGACAAAGATTGCGACATGGTATATAAGAACATCTCTGACCTTTACAAATCTGGGGAGTTTAAGACCTACGACAACTTTGTTTCATTAGTTGCAAAATGTTTGGGAAATAAGAGATAAAGATAGTAGGGGTAAGGTATGGAACGAACAAATAAGACCCGCTATGTTCGAGATGAAGAAAACCATTGACGCCTTAGTTGTTTTAGCAGGTAAGGTTTCAGAATATAACGCAAAAATGAATCCGCAATGTTCAAAATGTAAAGCAGCAATGAGGAAATATAACTACTCCGTCAAAGAGATAGAACGTATGCGAAACGACTATGCAGATTTAAAGAAAGAAGCAGAAAAACCAGCAGAAGATAAAATGAACATGTTAGAATTTCTGAACAAAAACTATCCAACAGCAGAAGATTTCCTTCTGTCTGACGTCAAGAAGAAGTATAAAGAAACTTTCGGTATCGTTAAAACTTTTGACATACTAAAAGAAGAAATAGAAGCTACAAAACTGTTTAAAGTCATGAACCATCGCAACATATACCATGTAAAACGCTTGTAAATAGTTATGTTAGAAAACATGTTAGAAAACATGTTAGATCTAACATTCTAACATAAACATTATTTTTGCTGAATTCCGTATGAAATTTCATGAGTTTTGTATGTTTTAGACCATGTTAGAAAACATGTTAGAAAACATGTTAGATCTAACATTCTAACATAAACATTATTTTTATTGAATTCCGTATGAAATTTCATGAATTTCCTCATATGCTTGCTTCCCTCGGAAAACAGTGAAGAACAGCGAGTAGTGAAAAAACCCTGGTCGCCAAAACTCTTTATTTTTCAAGCTTGACTTTTTACAATTTGAACTTTGTTCGCGTAGATGTGAATTCTGAAAGAAGTATGAGGGTCTTGTATGACTTTGTACTTCTCCCATAGTTCATGTCTGTCAAACTTACCTGCCATGGACTCTTTCATAAGTTCCATGAAATCGTCTTCGGACAATCCGGGGAAAAGTATAATGTCAGTAAGTATTCTTTTAACATCCTTACTTAAACTCTTTGCTGTCTGTACACATATTACGACTGAGATGTTAAAGTGTCTGAGCTTCTTAAGAATTCGACACATGTCTTGTTCTCTGTTCTTTAACAAAGGATGAGAAGCAAAGTCATCTAAGATAAGAAGACATCTGTGAGGGTAAGTCTTCCAATCGTAAGATTGCAATTTCTTCGAAATGTATTCTATCTCTTTCTGTTTGTTTCTGAAGTGTTTCTTCTCTAATATTCTCTGCATTTCCTCATTTGGGTCTTTAAACTTAGAATTTATATACTCATTTATAGCATTATACTTCAAAACTCTTCTTTGGTACTTCTTTATCCAATCTAACAACTCAGAGTCTTTTATACATACTAACTTAGACTTCTTTATAATATCTTTGAACGAATTGACGGTTTGGTCAAATTGACCCGAAGTACTACAAATGACAACTAACTCATAGAATGGGTTCTTCTCATCTAGTTCTTGTTGTTGTGCAGCCATTTTAAGATAAGTGAAAGTCTTACCCGACCCAGGTGGTGCAATTAGACCTGTTATACCATTCTGAGCAAATAGGAACTTGTCATGTATAGGCTTTATCTGAGCATTTTCCAACTTCCTCTTGTTCTTATTTAAAACATTCTCAAATTTCTTGTCAATGTCAGCAAACTTTTTTTCTAACATATTTTTAGAAAAATTAAAAATTTTATCTTTTAGGAAATGTCTAGCGATTTCGCTATCTATATTCGAGACAAGCTTTTCGACAGCAAAACATCTGTAGACCATAAAATCTTACATAGTGTAAACAAGAAAGGTGAATTTGTTCTAAAGTTCTGTTTCTGGGAATATGACAAGAACCATAAAACATTAAGCAGAGAAGTCTTTAAGTTTGTCAATGACAGACTTGTTGACAGAGATGACGCCGATTGGAGAGATGAAGTCCAACAAAAGTTCTTAGAATGCAAAGAAGACACATGCGCTGTTCTTGAAGATGAAATAGAAAACAGAATAGATGAGCTATTAAAGGACAAAGAACTTTTACATAAATATGGTTGCGCCAAATTTGACATAACTCCACCAGAGAAGAAGAAGAAGAAGAGAGAAAAGAAAGAAAAGAAAGTAGAAGAAGAGAAGAAAGAACCAGAGCCAGTTCCAGAGAAAAAGAAATTCGACATGTAAAAATAAAATTTTATTTTTAGAACATTTCTGGGTCAATGTCAATGTTCTCTTCCTCTTTAGGAGCAAACACTGGCTTAGACTCTAAAATCTTTTTACCCAATTTACCTTGAACTTCAACTATCTTAGACTCATAATATTCATAGTCGTCTGCTTTCTTTGGTTCATAAGGTATAACAAGTTTGTATGCTTTGCCTTCTTCGAGTTTTGAGAACTTTCTGTCAAAATTTTCTTTGACTGTCAACATACCGTCAATGTATAAGTCTTCAAAAGTTGCACCACTTTTTCTAACAACAGCAAACTTAACTGGTACAATGTTCCAAATTTTGTCAAATGTAGACTTTTCAAAATTGTAGAAGTAAACATTCAAATATGCGAATGGAGCTAACTTATCTTTGACTTCTGACATGTACTTGTTTACTGAGATGAATTTTGTCATCTTTTCTATCGGATAAAAAAATATTTTTTTTAAAATTTACTCAGAAAAATTTTTCTTTGTATATACGCCGTTCTGTATGTCTAAAAGATTTTTGACATTTGCCAAGAATGTTCGTTTAGACGCTGCCATATAACCATATTCTTGACAATATTGTTTATACGAATCGTACAATGACCTTTCATCTAAACACTCAAAGTCAGTTTCATCTATGAACAGTTCATATACACTCTTGTTTGCTTCTAACAATGTTTGTCTTTCTTCGGTATGTGGAATTTGTCTTGGATTGAACTTAGAAATATCTAATGTCATAAATATGAGAACAAGTGGTTGTAAAAGTCAGATGTCAAAGTTTCTGCTAAGTCGTCAAAATATTCTGTATCTTGCATATGAGAATCTGACGTTCTGACAACTACATATCTTCTGTCAGAACTTTCTAACTTCATCGGAACAGCATTGTTTGAAACCATAATGAAGTTTGCAACATTTTCACAAACTCTTTGGTCTTTATACTTTCTTTCAACAACTCCAACTTTGTCTGTTATAAGACTCTTCAAAGCATCTGAGTTCAAAACTTTTGTTGTATCTATACTTTGAAGTTCATTGCAAACTATAAGTTTCATATTCTCTATTGAGGAGTTAAACTTGCCACAGATGTTTTCTAAGTTTGTCATATTCGGATTCGAATAACCTTCTAACAGTTTGCATAAGATATCTGTAAAGAAAGTATTCTTACCAGTTCCTTGTTTTCCAATTATAATGAGAGCAGTTTCATTTTTAGCACTTGGATGTTGTAAGATATTTGCAAACCAACATAAGATATACTCATAAACCTTTTCGTTTCCATTGCATATAATTTCTTTGACATGGTCTAACCAAGCTTCTATAATATTTTCTTTCCATTCTACTTGTTCGTATTTATATCCAGTGAAGATAGAATAGAAGTTTGGAGAAGGTGTATAAAACTTTATACCACGAACTGAAAAATCTTCTAACTTTGACAATAAGATATCCCAAGCATCTAACATCTTCATGCCAACTTGTACGACTTTTATTTTCTTAAGTTTCTGTCTACATTCTTGTTCTGAAACTATTGTTGCTCTTGGTTTGTTAAAGACAACATCCCATTCTTTCATAACATAACATTCTGGGGCAGAGTCGACATAAATGACTAAACGTTTCAAATTCTCGACTGCTTTGTTATAGTCTCGAAATGGACACATATTTCTGAATGCTTGGAAGTCATAAAAATCTGAAACATCTATTCTGTACATTTTTATAAAAATAAAAAAAAATATTTTTTTTTATTCTTGACTTTGTTGTTCCATTTGTTGCATTTGTTGTTCTTGAGCTATTTGTTGTTGAAGTTGTTCTTGTAATACAATACTTTCACCAGTTGCATCTTCCAATTCGAAACTTTCTGCCGTCATTGACAAATACATAGGACATAAAAGTTTTACAGGAACAAAGTTTGCGTCAACTAATGTCAACGTTATACTTGCCAAAGTGTTTGAGTTCACTAAGGTTGAAAATTCTGCATTCGAATGAACAATAGGCAAACCAGCAGAGAAAGTATTGTTTATACGCATAAGTATCTTTTGGTCATAATAGTTTCTGTCGACATTCGAATAACACTTTGAACCTAAGTTTGAAACAATATATAAAATAGGTGTACTTAAAGTCAATGGAATAGACATTCCTTGTATGACACCTTTTCCTGTTATAGGAAACTGTTGGTAGTAAAAACCAGAAATAAGTTTTGTATTATAGCTCATATCGTTTATAGTAAACTCAGTCGGACATCCAAACATAATGAAACCTGCTCTAGTTGCAGCACATGTTACATCCGTCCTTAAAGTATTAAATAAGTCAACAAAACCTGTTGGTGGTATATCTGAGTAAGTATCTTCAAAGGAGTATTTTTTACCATTCACAACAATAAATCTTCTGGTGTCAAAAGAGCAAAACAAGCTTTAGTCGTCATTGTGTTTAAGGTTAGTTTACAATATCGTCCTTGAGGACTTTGTAAGTTTGTTGTTATAGAATTATATGACTCGGGGTTTTTAGTCGTAATAGTATAAACCATTGTGTCTTCTGCCATTTACTTAGCAAATAAATTTTAATGAAATGTTGTGGTCGTCAAATATTTTTATGACGTCTGGGAAACTATACTTTAAGTTCAACGTTTCACCTCCTTTCATAACGTATATCTTGTCAATGACATTATATGAAACACCACAGCAAGCAATGTCGGGCTCTATTTCTTTGATGTTTATATCGTCTGCCTCTGTCAAAAGTTTCAATAGTTCTTTCAAAACTTCATGAGGTGCGATGACATATGAGTTCACTTTTACAGGGTTGTGTTCGACCAAGTTTAACATTATACCTAAAGCTTGACAAATCTTCTCCTGAGTTTTAAGTTTGTCTTTCAGTTGTTTGTAGTCATTTCGAATATCTGCAACAGAACTTAAGTCTCTGCTAACTTCAGGATATGTTGGTTGTTCTTTTACAGGAACTATTGTTATACCATCTTCGTCTTCGTATGGTTTCCCCACTTCAACATCTCTTTCTTTGACATTGACAACAACACTTTGACTGTTTGTTTGAGTTGGTGAATTTAACTTCACATCTGCCACCGCCATTAAACCTTTTGAAACACTCACGCTTCTATTTTTCGGAAATGACATTTTACTTAGAATAAAAAGATGGACGTATTCGAGTATCTCTTCGAATTGAAGCAGAACAAAGTTTACACACACAAACAATACAAATACATTGACAGAATAGTTCTTTACACAAACAATGGAAAATGTTATAGAATAGCAGTCTTTGCTGAACCTAAATATTTTCATAAAGCAAAGAAAGTTGGTATAACCGAGATGGTGAAAGTTCTTGACGTTGACAAAAATATAACAACAAAACTTACAGATATTTCTAAAGGTAAGTTTATAATACAATTTTATGTCAAAACTGGCGTACTGTCAATATTTGACGGAGAGAAGTCAGTTCAAGAACAACTTACTGACCTGCTGCCAAAATCTGCTCGATGGAAGCTGTCGTTATGCCAATCTGAGGAGCCCCAGCAGGTTTCATCGAACGAATCTTCAAAAGAGCATCTTCCGTGAAAAGTGCTATTGGTTTTGTAAACTTCTTTGCTTTCAATTCATCTGGACCGTCTCTGTCACCAGTATATTGTATTTGAACTGTACCAACAGTTGAAATACCACCCATAAAGTCTTCTGAGTCAGCAAATGGAATGCCAAGCCAAAAGTTTGAACGGTCTCCATTTGTATATTGAGTTTTTTGAGCTCCTGTATGAGTCCATACTTTCACATATGGCATAATAGAACTTTGCATTTCAGGGTTAATGGTTGTTGTGAAGTTGTTGTTAAAGTTCATAGCATCTAATGTCAAGTTGTATGACCTCATATCCTCAACTGTAGAATATTCTTCTCTTGGATAATATTTGCCATCTATGTTTATATGATATTTAATACCGGGTTGTAGAAACAAGAATAGTCATTTATAGTTCGTCTGAACAGTACAAACATAGTATCTGCATGTTTCATTGCAGTTGTTAAAGCAATATCTGTTCTTGCACCTTCGGCTCCTGGATTTTGGTTTCCAACTTCACCTGCAAAGTCTTTGACAGATATTTTGGTGTATAGGGAACATAAGTGGAACTGCAATATATTTGGCAGCTAAAGCATTTGAAATATCTGGGTCCAACATATAGACTGCAAGTCTGCTTTCTATTCTCTTGCATTCAAACTTTTCGCATGTGAACTTAACTGGGTCCCAAGCATCTCCAGCAGCATTGAAATAATAGTTTACTTCAGTGTTGAGGTTTGAGAAACCAAAGTCTAAGTCAACTTTGTTTTTGCAAAAGTCGGCGAATGACATTTTATTTGTTCCCACTACTTCTGTAAGAGTGAATGGGTCTTGTGTTGGTGCAATGACTAAGTTATTTTTGCTTGGAGTAAGTTCGATAGAAATTTTTCCTGCCCAGTTTGGCAAGTATCTTAAAAACCTGAAGATGAGGAAAGATGACAAAGGAACTCTAAGTTTCAGTTTTACTTTGGTTACTGCTGCTGCAGTTTGTCCAGAAAGGTTAACATAAACTCCTGGAACGTTAGGGTCAAGTCTTCTTATTTTCTCAATAGTTGCATACTGGTCTGTTTGTTCTCTAGCTTGTGGTTGTACTGAGTTTCTCAAAGCGAACCATTCATAGTTTGCCCATGTTACTGTTTGAACTAAGTCAGAGTTAGAATATATCTTATATCCCATGAAAACTTCTGGAGCATATTGGTATCCGACATAGAAAATTCCATTGCAACCTTTCTTGTCAGACAACTTGGCAGAAGGTTTTATTTCAATGTCTTGTTCCACGTATAAGAAAGAGTTGTCAATAGAAATTATATGAAACCTGTCGCAAGCAATATCTACTGTTGTTGAAGAACCTTCTCCAAACTCACCTACGTTTCCATAAGAAACAGCAGTTGTATATTCGTAAGTTCCAGGAACTATTTCTGACCTTCTAATGGCATTGTCGCATTCGTTATACCATTCGGAAACATTTCCATTCATAGCATCCAAAACTGTTGGCGTTATATTCTGAGCGGCGTACATTTCATATGAGTAAAAATATAGAATAGTTGGATTTATATGTCATAATAGAACCCACGTGGACCAAGCTTTACTTTCTTCCTGACTGAGTTTTTAACTCTTCTTTTTCCTTCATTGCCCTCTGCTTGAAGTTGTTGCATCTTTGCATTATGTTCATCTAGTATGTTGCAAATTTCCCATGTCCT